ATTAAATTATCCCTTAAAGTTCAAATTTTTTAGGTATTGGGCCTGGTCGCAGACCGGGCCGCGGGGGCTTTGCCCCCCGGAACTCTCTCCCCAGGTAAACAGGTACACATATAAACAGTGTTAATTGCCTAGGATAACTCCAAAAAAAGTCAGACAAAAAGTGACTTTGTACCCCAGGATAACCAGTAGCTCAATCGCTGGCGCACTCAGTTCACACCAGATCCGGGATCGATCCTGGGTACGGCTAGAAAAACATCGGGACGTTTTTCCCATACGATTCCTTCTGTCCATATTCACCATCAGTGAAATGGGCACCTGGGTGTTAGTCAACTGGTGTGGGTGGGACCTATCTAGGCTAAGGGACTGATCTCCTCAAATAACCTTCATGTCTTCCACCGTCTTGAGTATTATTTTCTCTGCTCAACTCATAAAGCCAGGGGTTGTCGAAACGTCCCACTCCAGGTACGGGTCCAAGGTACACATAAATACAGTTACACAAATTATCAACCTAGTAACGCGTGTAAATTACCTGTCATAGCCCCAAAAAAGTCAGCGACTTATTTCTACTGGGGGTCATTGATTATTTCCATCTATTACACAGCCTTAAAGGATTGGAATAAGATTAACTAAATACTGCGCGGGGGCCAACTGAAGTAAAACGGTTTCCTGATGAATAAAAAGGTCACAATACCGTAGCGGGAACCATTCCCCAAACAACCCGGACAATGGCCTTGACAACAGTCCAGGATGGACCGAAACGTCCCCTTTAGGTTCCTCTTTTCAAGTGCGGATTTTTGGGTTTGAACTGACTCCTTTATCCCGTAGCTCGATCGCTAAGCAGTCAGCTCAAACACTGTGGTTGGGGAGTCGATCCCCGGTACAGATGGAAACATTAAGACGTGTTCCTTAGCATAACTTTTTGTCCAATATTCACTCAACAATAAAATGGATACCTGGGTGTTAGTCGACTGGTGTGGGTTGCATCCTGGGACAAAATTGACCTAATCTACCGAAATGCTCTGCATAACAAAAGGGCTTTCTATATAGTACAAGTCCACTGATGTCAGCTAAGCCTGTACGTATACATGTACTTGTAGAAAAAAGATTATTATTATTATTAATACCAACTGCACCAGAACGACTTCAAAACGAACCAAGTTAATCGAATTGGTAGCAAAACCAACTGCAATGTTAGTCACAGTAGCATAAATCCCCCTGCCAGGGTTTTCCCCATGGTATGTTATACTTTTCCCCCCCGTTTTTTGTGCCCTCAATAACCAGAGGGGGTGGAGGGGGGCGAGAAGCCTTCTGTTTACTATCCTCGCCTCAAACAGCTGGTAATATTCAGTATCCTTTTTCTAGGTAAAAAGCATATAATAAAAAAGAAACGCTAACTTACAAGGGTCATACAGTAGATAAAAAAAGATCTCAAACACCTAATGTGGACTCCAATCCTCTTGTTATCTGATTCCCCTGTACTTGACTATTTTCTGAGGGCCCCCCTGTTTAACCCATCAACAAACCTTTAAGTAATAAAACAAAAGCAATACGTTAAACCCCCGTGGGGAGGGTGTGTGAAGGGGTAGGCCTATAACAAAAGCTTTTTATGAAAAAAAACACAGTGTTTTTGCACGATGGATTTGTATGAGGTTTTCACCTCTGAGGAGGGGTCACAACAGGTTTTTCATATAAAAAGTGCTTCCTTTTTTTCTTCTATTCCCTGAAGATGTGGAAAAAACACATGAAAACGTAAATTTTATTTTCCTATTTTCCCTGTGGTAATTTTACATACTTCTTGTTTATATATAATTTTAGTTCCGGTCAAAGCATTTTTTAGTTCAGAAATGACCTGCCTATGAAATTTTCTTTGGAAATTTCGATTTTTTCAATCCATCGGGTTAAGGAGACCCCCTGAAACCTACGGGAGTGCGGGGTTACGCCATTCAGGTAATATTTACTTTCTCTGGGTTTTGGGAATTAACGTAAAGTATACAAAAAGGGGAACATACGTAAAACCCCGGTTTTTTCTGAGTGTCCGGGACGACCCCCGGCAGGGGTAAAACGTTGTAAATTTTCCTTACACGACTGCCCCCTTCACCAGGAAAAGTAGGCTCTTTGGGGGTTGATACCTTAATCTCTGCCCCCGTTCACATAACTAAGTAGGTATCTGGAGTTTGTCGAATGTTTGGGGGGCACCTCGGGACAAATTAAGCTAGGTTCCCAGAAATGCTCTACATTACCCCGGGACTTTCAATATTAGTAAAGTTGTCACAGGGCTAAACAACGATCAGACTTGTAAAAAAGATTATTTTTATTCCCTCTTTCCATACTTCCCCAAAACACTTGCCCCTTGTGCTAAAAGAGGTCAATGTATCTGAAATTGGGGAGGGGACCTGGTCAAGAATAGCAAGCATCGAACTTAAAACTAAAAGGAAACAAGGATAGGAATCGCGGGAAAAAACTAAAACCATAAATAAATCGAAAAAAAACCCAAAGTATTCTTTCCCTATGCAAACAAATCGAGAAAAACTCCATATTGGCCCCCCACTTAAACAAGATGGGTCCCCACAATGACGCAAGGGGAAAAGAGTGAGCTCCAAATCCCAATATGACTCGGGTTTTTGCAAGCCGCAAAACCCGACGAGATAAAATCAAATTTAATTTTTTTATGAGAGGCCACAGAATTTGTTAACCAAACCTATCTGATTTATCCTGACGCCAAATGACTTCGAACAGGCGATAAATGACGCAAAATTGACTCCGCCCAAAATTGACTCTTTGAACCGCTCCAGACGGAAGAAGCAAATAATTTTTTAAAACCACAGAAGGGAAAAAAACCCCACGGGACCCCCCAAAAAAAGGGAAAAAATTGGAAAGGGGGGAAAGGGGAAAAATAAAAAATTTTTTTGGGGGGGGGGGGGGGTTAATTAAAAAAAACCAGAAAAGGGCCCCACTCCACAAAGGGGCGAAAAGAAATTAGCAAAGAACACAGCCCATAGCACTAACATCCCTATCATAAAAATCTTTGAAAGGGTCCAAAAAGCAAGATCCCACCCATCAAAAACCCCAAAATTTACACAACCCGGGGCAAAGGGTTAGAACAGGTTGCCCCGTCTGTCCTCAACTTTTGGATCACTACGACAAGGTTTCAATGACTAGAAGAAAAAAAAATGCGATGAAAAATACAGCTTGCAAAACCCCTTCGAAAAGTGTGCCATGGCGTAATAGCGCACAAAATGCGTGCTAAAGGAATAACGGGAAAAAAGTGGGTTTGATGGATCTATAATTTCCTCACAAACAGAACACAGGAGTGTTTTCAAAAGATTAAGTCCGAGCAGCTACGGGAAAAATTTGTTCCAAAAGGGAAAAGTACCCCCCCATCTGTTCCTCATCCCATACGACATAACAAGGATTTCGCCACGCACCGTTCTCCTTTGCAGATGACACCCCGAATCGCAGACGTGTTTTCCTTTGCAGACACTGAAAGGGCCCAGGGGACATAAACCAAATCTTTCAGTGGGCGCAGAAAACAATATAAGTTAAACGATAGAAATTTCAATTACTCAATATGGAAAAACCAGGAAATTAAACTTCATCAGAGTACAAAACAAATTCTGCCCAAAATAGACGAAACACCAACTCAAAGACCGGGGTGATCATGTCG